TTGAGTAAAATAAACATTAATGAAAGAACACTTGTTTTTATTTCAAATAGTGTGTATGTAACACCTCTTTTAAAACTTTTAATTAACAAGAATAGATACAAAAAGACTAAAATAATTGAAGGTGATAATTTAACTGAATTAATAATTGAATATTTTGATCAGTTTGATACATTTATAATTATAAACTATGAAGTTAGTCAATCAGATGAAGATTTAATTAGAAGACTAACCATAAGAGATGAAAATAAAAGATTTTTAAGAATATTGTAATATTGAATAAACAAGTTTATTGATTAGAAACAGGTAAATCTTCTTTCTTATTTTCAAAATCATCTTGAGATCCATCACGTAATTGATTTAAGATATTTTCCTGAACGGTATCTTTTTGTTCTTTTAATAATCTTTCAAATTCAACCTGGTTTCTATAGAAGAATAATTCAACTGTTTTATGATCATCTTCTAATGGTGTTCCATTTCTAATAAAATTGATTAACTTAGATAAAATATAGAAGGAAGCACCAATAGCTTTAGGTGATCTATTATTGATTGGAATAGCAATATCAACACAACTAAGATCTGAGTCTGTATTGGCAAATGCAATAACAGGACAATTAATAAAAGATGCTTCAGTAATAGCCTGTTTGTCCACATTAGGATCACTTACAATAACTAATCTAGGAGAATTGTAAGTCTTTATGGTAGTGTTGGTGAATGCTCCTGGTACAAATCTACCGGTACTTGCTTTACATCCAGTAAGTTCAGCAAACTTATGAACAGCTTTTTTAGCAAAGAGCTTACCGGAAATTGCTGTAATACTTCCAGGGTTACTATAACCACAAAATACACGTGCTGCCAGAATAAGCTTTTTCCATGTCTTATCAATATCAAATACTCTTATTTTGTCATTCCTCTTACCAAATACATAGTGAGACATTGGCTTGGATAAATCAGTTCCCCCTAAATGTGAGTTTGTCGCAATTAATAACTTTGCAAACGAGTCTGGTAATTTTATTATTGGCTGTGCCATTTTGAGGGTTAAAATTTTTTATAAA